TGACGACTAGTGATTAATGATAGTATTCCTTGCTTCAATTGCCATGCCAATGTAGTTGCTGTTGACAATGATTAATCGGCAAATTTCTCGTCATACGTGTGAACAAGCCAAAATGTAGCGCTTTTCAGAGGAAAATAAAGTAGTAAAATGGATTCTAATAAAGATTTTCAGATTGATGCAATTCCAAACAGCCAGTATATTGTCAGATCGATTGGAATTCAGCATCTTTCAGCAAATTACACAACTCCTTATAACGGTAAACATAGGAAATCTACATTTCCAGTGAAAATAGACCATTTTTACCTCTATTTTTTGTGACATTGGTTAATTCATTGCCTTATGTTGAAGGGGGAGGTCTTCACTAACACAGGGTGGTCTTAAAAACTATTGTTTATCATGTCGACAGGAACCGACAATTTTGTTGATTGGTCATCACGTGAAATATGTTTAATATAGACGATGAAAAAAATAACAACTACTGAAGGCACTAAAATGCAACTTTATATCTGAGGTTTGACTGTCGCCACGCTACCAACGATATGGAACAAGGCCTTCTATAGGAAAATTTGTTGAAATGAGAATCAAACACATGAGCTTTGCCTGGTGTACTAACCAGGGAAGCAACCCCACTCATTAAGAATAATTCTATCACTACTGAAACTTCTTAGCACGGGGAAAATAAACTTATTCTTCTCTGGAATCGGAAATACTTCTGAATTCGAGGGATGATTCCGGCGAGTGAAACCCTTCAACTAGTGTATCTTCTTTCAATGAGGGCAAAAGTAAGCATGGTGCTTTGCAATGTTCGCACAACACTTGTGACTGGCAACACCGCTTAGATTTCCGGAAAAATGAGATGTGGCATAGAAGATGGAATGAAATTGTACTCTCCAATCTGTTAACTGAGAAATCAATAATCTACTCCAATTATCAAGATAATAACCACGAACACACTGAAGATGTGCCTATCATGATGTCACTAACACCATCGACGGCTCTCGCTCAACAGTAAGTAATTTCTTGCACAGCAATATCAGCGAAATTCAACACAAAAAGAAGGAAAGTTATCCGTTCTCATTTTTATCACCTCTCGACCCATAATGAGTTCTCTTCCTATATTTTCTGATTCCATTTGGCTTCCATTAATATCACCCATTAGAATTTTGATGTCACCATCTGACATTGGTGTTATCCACCAATGTTTGCAATTGTCTGTACAATTCTCTCACCATTAGGTCTGCGTTGTTCGTAGCATTGTATAACTGTCACTCTCTGAAGACCTTTTTCCTTCTAATGGTTACGTGATTGAGGGCATTGTGTAAAGGAAAAAAGATATCTGCAGCACGACATGGGTTTCATTAGATGGACACAAAAATTATTAGTCTTCACCTCAATCCGAAGAAAGCGGAGAAGCAACCAACTACACATAAGGTCTAAAAGGAGAGCAGACGTATGTTCCAACTACTATCTACTGCACAGAACCTTCGGGATCAAGTTGAAAGCGTTCAAAGACATGGAAGTAAACCTGTGTAGACAGATATCTTAAGCAATACATGGACACCTGGAAGCTGACAGAGAAAGGAAGGACGGCGAAGCTGAACCAGTGCCGAGATAAACATCGAAAGCAAAAGCTGAGGATGATCTACAGAGCACTCAACAAAGGAGGAGTGATAGGAAAGATGATGCATTGGCAACCGAAGCAAAAAAGGCTGCGACTTAAGGACACCTCGCAACACTATATTAAACAGCCACATTCAGGCAGCACTCCAGGGAGAAGACAACACAGTGGAAGCCAGTGAGAGAAGGGGAACACTGAGTCGCTACCTTCAAAGAAATCCTAAATCGACCACCACTGTCATCTTCCCCAGAAATACCACTCGCGGAAAGATAACTACGGGTGGGAAGCAACCCTCCAACAAAAATATAGGTCTTCACGGCCACAAGATTATCGAAAGTCTCAGGTCTAGATGGAATTTCCCCTGAAACACTGAAAACAGACCTCAGCGGACATACTCACACCACTGCAGGCGTGCATGGAAGCAGAGGTACCCATAGATTGTGAAGAAAGCTACCTTGTCAAAATGCCAAAGAAGGGCGACTTAAGCCTATGCAATAAGTAACGCAGAATTATGCTAATATTTAACCCAAACAAAATATAAGGCTACATCATACTGAGGAGACTGACTAGGATTGAAAACTCCGTCTAGTATAGGCTAGAATCACGAAAAACAAGTCGTTCGCGGATCAATTTGCAACAACACATATCATCACCAAAAAACTAGAATGCCAATCAACTCTCTACCTCAACTTCGTCGACTCTGAAGAGACCTTCAACACTGTCAACCATGAAGTGATTTAGCAAATGCTTCAGCATTACGAAGTGCAGCACTACAAACGAATGCTAAGGGATCCACAGCCGGAAACTCACCGAAGCGCGTGAAGTGAAAACAGGAATAAGACAGGAATACCTATTATCACTGATGATATCCCTGGCATTGGTGAACAGGAATATACGGCAGATGGTAGGGAGTCACAAAAAGCTCCTCAAAGGAATGTACTTTGAGAACGGTCTGTCTTATGTCACACAAACTCGGAAGTTTACACACGAAAACATACAAATTGGCAGAATAAGCGAAGCCAAGATTTAAGGTGAACCTACATAAGACAGATGCGATGAAGCGAGCCAACCCACAATGACAAATACCAGTCACCATCAACGGAAGAATCTAAATCCTTCGCTCAGCTGACCTGAGCAGAATCATCTCAACTACAGACAGCGCGAATGACAATATCAAAGCCAGCCCGGATCGGATCAGAAAATCAAGGAAGGCTTACATTACTCAAAAATCACTGTGGACACGCACATCACTCGGCATCAGGAACAAAATCTGGACTTCTTACACTAATGTCAGGTCAGTGATGATACTTGGTTCAGAAATTTGGAGTGCGCGTCACTAAAAGTATTTCATCAACACCTACTTTCGCTCAACACTGAAGATCAGATGGCAGACCGGAAAAGATAAGTAACAAGGAACTGGAGATGGACACACATACGGCTATCCAACAAAGAGCGTGTTTACTGCTCAGCAGTCCACTCCGTCCTCTTTTGTGTCTGTGAGACCTGGCCACTGGAAGTGGGAGACATGAAAAGGCTGGCTGTCTTTGGTCATAGATGTCTGAGTCCTATCACCTGTGTGAAGTGGCATAAAGGGGTGAGCAATATTGAGGTTAGGCATTGGTCGAGTGCTAGGTAAGGAGGGGAAATCATTCGACGAGGTTGTGAAGTTACACCGACTGAGATGGTTAGGACATGTGTTACGTATGCCTAGCCATCGATCGCCTTCCTCGACAATGGACAATGTTAGCTGACATTGGATGGATCAGGTTGGAGAAGAGTTAGCTAGTGGATGGTCAAACCAAAACATGGCTTCATCAGTCAATGAAATGCACAACAGTTAGTTTAAGCCAGTCACGTAGGAAGGTGTAGACTTCGTGGTTTGGTGTCCTCGGGAAGGTAAACACCCATTGCTGGAGACAGTTGGTGTTGTGGCCGGCTCAAAATCGTCATTGTCAATGGCGCAGATGCATCCACTTCTTGTGACTTATAATATCCAATAGAACTATATGGTTCTTCAATATTTCTATTCCTTTTGCCTCATATCTCTGTTTACTGTCTCTGTTTTGCATTTCTTTTTACCTTCTTCTCTAGCTTTGTGTGGTACATAGAGGGAGTGTGGCGACTCGAACTGCTGCACATCGGTGCAAAGTTTTATGTTGAAACCAGTCAGTTAGTCAGGAGCCTTTCAAGCGATATCGCACGCCGGGCCTTCAAGTGTGACCTGAGTGAAAAGTGGAGAGTCAGGAGTTCAAGTTTAACGTGAAGATATCAACAAATACGACGTTAATATAATTCTGATTCTAATAATAACAATAACGAAATATAAGTTTACAGGATGTATTGTATAAATAAGCAAGCCACAAGTCAATATTCTTTAAGATATACCAGCTATGACATCATCTATTAAAATAGTCTAAACGAACCTACTGCGTCATACTATAGAACCAAAACTGTGAATATGCTCATTTACTAAAATATAATGCATAATTGAGAGGAAGTATCCACTAGCACAATTTACAAAACAGGTCGAAGATGTTTGAATGAACATTCATGAAATACACTACCTATAGAGATTTAAGATTTCCAAGTGTTGGTTTGAAGAGATTTGATCGGTTACAGGATTTCTTCACGAGCTGACATCGGTTACAGAACAATTGGAAAACCAATAGGAAGTAATGGACAGCTGTTTCGTCCTATTTTCGGACTCGTCATTCGACCACCAGGGTCTAGACCTGGGAGCCTCCAGTCCCAAGGCGAGCTCGTAAACCATTAAGCCACTAAGACCTGGCCCAATGGCCGGACCATGAACTCTAACTTCTGCCAATTCACGATATGGCGCGACCACTAGCCAATGTCATCGGCGAGTGTTTGTCCTCACCCCCGACCTGCTGTAGCCTACTGGTCACGACTTCTCACTGGAACCAAGGTAACTGCCTACCTGAATAGGGCAAGTCGCCAGTGAGCATCAGATTGATATATTTAAGATTCTTCAATTTGGAATATTTAGAGATAACAAGTTAAATTTATGTACACCTTAGAGTAAGTGAATTGGTTGCTGGATTGCAATCAGTGTAGCTGTTTTATCCTAAAAATGTGTTTTTCAAAATCGATTCCCTCAAATAAACAATACAGACATTCAACTAGATAACACGGTATCACGCCGCCGACCGTTTTCTCCACATGCTTAGCATGTGAAAGCAAGAATATCTAACAGTTAAAGTTCTCCAGCAGAAATTTGCCAAGTACCAAACTATAAGTCACGCTGATGAAAGCACCTAGATGTCTAGGCCAAAGTCGTTGGAGTAGGAGTCGAGCCTGAGATCCCTTGATTAAAAGTTAATTATTACTGTCAATGAGTCACGAATATACGGAAACTTCATTTAAAAAAACAACAAGGGGTAAGGATGTATAAAGCAATTTAGGAAGTCATGTGAATACAATGGCATAATTGCGAGTAATACATTGCGTTCCAAAAAATCATCCAGTTATTAGTAATGTATCACCGTTGAGTAACCCACGTCTCCACACATCCAATAGTGCTATTACTTGTAATCCCAGTATATTGAACGCAGCATGAATAAATAGAAAATTAATGTAAAAATTATTACTTATCACTATCATTTATTACTATCAGTCATTAGTTCATCAACTGTACAACTTGAAAAACATGATTGTAAAGAGGAAAGAATTTCTTCTACTATACAAGGCCAGGATTTATTGACTGCAAATGATTGTTGAAAATCACTCATGCTGCAATTGAGACTACGCTCTGGTACACACCAATCACTTGCCAAATCATTTCGATATTGGTAATTGATGCTTAGATCTCCATTTTTCTGTGGTGTAAACAAACCTGAAATGATACAGTCTGCGATTTTAGGTGCCACTTCTTTTGGTGTACACTGTCTTCCACAAGCTTCGCTTAGGCAGGTAACATCTCGATCAACTAAACCACATGGTACTATTTGCCTGAGCCATGGCAGTGGTTCTGTAGTACAATTTATAGATATTCCATGATATGTTATTGAATTACTTTGGCGGATACCTAACTAAAATAAAATCCGTAAACAAAAGAACAATACACAATAAATCAAGTTTAAAATGTAGTAAAACTTCACACAGAGACTGCACAATTAATCACAAAATATATTAACAATTGGATAGGTGCGTGAAGAATATTAACTACTAACGCAAACTCCTCAGGCCGCAAAGAATACCGATATTGACTAATTCATTCAACAGATTGTGGTATTTCCATTTCTTTCACATTTTACAGCTATAGCGCTTTAACTTTACTGACACATTCTATTAAATTTGTTTGTTTGTTCTCTTTAATAATTTAACTATTATTGGTAAGGACAACATGAGTGCAAAATGTACAAAAACGAATGTGTAACAGTCTTCCTGACATATCCAAATAATTAAGAAGTAAACTTATCTATAACAAAATTAAATTGCACTTTGAGGTTGAATTTCAGACAGCTTTATTGATTACCTAAAGATGTGGTACTATGGCACCATAAGAACTTCGTGACGAGGAAAATGTTGTTTTAATCGTAAGCGGTTGAATTGTTTCTTTCATGTGATCAAAATACATAGTAATGTTGAAATTAGACTCGATGTTAACTAAGGAAGGCAAGTCATTGAATGAAGTCGTGGATCTTCATTCAACATACAACTTGGCACATTTGCGACATTTCAAATCTTCATACTCCACATTGCACACAAAAGTATAGAAATAAATAAAATTCAAAATATTCAATAGAACTATAATGAAAGGAGATGTACGGGAAAAAGAATAGTAATACTGAGAGACATGAGGACTTAATGAATTGGGGAGATTACAAGGAGTAAATGCATCTACGCCATTGAGAACAATTTTGAGCCGTGTCACCAATGGTCTCCAGGCATTAGTTCTTAAAGTCTCGAGAACTGCAGCCAGGTAGTGCACATCTCTTTGCACGGCTGGCTCAAATCAACAGTCAAAGACTTCATGGACTGGTACCATGTTTCGGTTTGACCTCCTCTATTTTTAAGACTAATCTGATGGTAGCAAACACTGCTTGACGGAGACGGAAATGGCTTGACTTGCGTAACATGCTTCTTAGCCATCTTGACCGACGCTGCTTCACGTCAGTCGTTTGGTTGAGAAGCACTACCACCTGACTTGAATGACTGATAACTATTTATATTAGTCAGTAGTAACGTGTTGCACAATGTGCTTGCTTCCTTCGGCATATATACTGATTAGCGACTCTAATACTGTGATCTGTATATTTTGGCTTTGCCAAGTAAGCTGTACTCAAATTCCACGCCAAATTGTGCAATTTCCAAATGACCAACTATATTCATACCGGATTGGTCTTTAATGCTTATTACTAGACAACCTACGTGCCCTACATTACTATGATTTTTGTGACTTTAAGCTTTCTGATTTTCGAGCTTATTTTTTTAATTCCTTTCATCTCATGCTCCAGGGTCAATTTAAATTAACTAGTTCTGCTTTTAACGCATTAGTGGTTCTCTTTCTCATAATGGTCAAAAGTAACTCATATATAACAGGTGGAAAACCAGGGCAAATAATTAGAGAAAATAATACAGAAATCTTTGAATATCTGAATACAAAATACTTGTGTATTAAAAAGAAACCTTACCAATAGCCATAACTTTATGCATTGAATCAAGCCATACGCCAGTCTCCGAATCTCCTCCAACAAACGCATTTAAACCGAATTGCGAGCACAAACGAACGCCAGCTTTCTCTAAGGCCCCAACATACCACTTTAAACCTCGGCCTTGTAAAGACTTGCATCGAAGATTGATTATTGGATAAACTACAAGCTGCCCCGGACCATGATAAGTAATCAAACCTCCACGATCAGTACTGGAATTGAGAAACATCAAAAAATGACAAATACAGAAACAGTAATAAATGTGATGCAAATGATGTTCTACAGGTTTTTAATAGTTGCCACTAAGCCACTAAACTCACTGCACCGGAAAACGGACAAAAAATTTCCCTTTTTGGATGTGCAAGTGACAAAGAAACCTTCCAGGACATTAGATAGATTAGTGTATGGAAAACCCACGTGAAACAGCCACCTGACAAACAGTCGGAAGCCAAGAAGTTGCAATCTAAACCTCAATACCTCATGCAAATAGAGACCAGAGAATCTGTAACTCAGAATCGCTAGATAAAAAGACTGATCTTTTGAAGAAATCAACTGAGAATCTATCACCTCTACGTCTTATAGAGGAATAAACAACTAATTAAATGCGTGCCAATGAAGCCGGTATGAGTGAACGTAACCTTCAAGTGACCTTACTGAGAATATCAGACACTTAGAACATTCTTTGCATCCCCACTGGTATTCTTTTGTCGTCAAGTGTTCTCCAATAACTTCCGACTAACTATTGCATTTGATCAATTTAACTGTTATGTAGAGGTCATCCGATGAGAGATTTACCCAAAAGAAGACAAGAAAATTAACCCACATGGTTAAACTGAGGCCACAACGGATCAATACAAAGTGTTACAATTAAGCATAGTTGCAACACTAACCACTCAATGTCTACGGAAAATTCAGTTATTTACAAAATGAAAAGAAGCCTCTTAAAACATCATGTTTCCATTTCCTTTTTACTCCTAAGGCCAAAAACATTTATTGAAAATCCCGATTTATACACACAGAAGAAACTTGTCTACGCTGGATATTATCGCAAATTCAGTTATTGTATCACTGTCATTACAACCTTTGTCGTGCATTTTTGGTATTACATCTATTACCATCATTGTTTCAACTTCTCTTTTTGTAACTATATTTGTCTACCACATAATATCTTCGTGTTTGTGTCCTTCCTCTTCCCGCCAAAAACTGATTTTCTAAACAGTTTATTTCATACAGACAACCCCCAGCCTACTGTCATTAATTTTCTCACCCATTATTAAATTAAAACCGTTTTGATGATGTGGACGATACTGAAGACTCATTCCCTGTACACTTAGGATAAATAATAGTTCTGCAAAATTGTGACTATACAGCTAAATGAATGAAATCACCGAAAAATATGTTCGCTGAATTATGTCTAATTTCATTATCACTCAACAAATTAACAAAACACTTCTACAGCTTTTTAATGATTAAACGCTTTAGGAAGGGTCATTTTGAGGCTGACGAGTCGATTTCCTGCAAACCTCCACCACTCTGAATTGCCAAAGTTTGAAATAACAAACAAATGGTAGAAACCATAAATGAAATGACAACGCAAAACAGTATTATGTGTGACATAAATGGATAAAGATTAGCAATAATTTCCAGAAAACCAAAAATAGCATGTAGTGGGTAAATCTTAAGCCGTATCGCAAAGTCGCTGTACATTAAATCTAAGCAGCATAAACAGCTTAGACCAACAGTGAGACTTCATTGAACGACTCCATATTTTCGTCTAAACACATCTAACGGTCATCGTGTCTCTCAGCTAACACCATTCTTACAAGTTCATGGGTTTATACGAGTACCATATGTTCCAGCCAATGCAGACAATGACGATCCTGAACGTCCTTAGCCCACGTGCATACCTCCAGCTGGAACCACCCTGCAAACTTTAACAATGAGGATATACCGGCCTTCACCTTTGATATTTTTTATTTCAACTTCAAATTTGGCACTCGACTGCTTATAACCCACTCTTCATCTTAATTTTATGCTTAATAGTTCCTGGAGTCATTCAGTAAGTCGAAATATTGGTTGCTTTTTACTAGCAGCAAAATGAAATATGAATTACTAGGAATTCTTATCACTTAATCAATGTATTTATTCTGCAAGTATTTCTAGAGGTCAACTAACCTGAAAAACTCAGCCCCCAAATTTCTTAAACGTTCGATTCCAACCTTCCCATAATCGTTCACAGGATCAGTATGCCTTATGCCAATCGTATATACTGGGCTGTGCTCCAGTAGTAGGATGCAATGGACAGAAGGGGCATCAAAAGATTTCAGCAATCCAACAATGGACTTTTGAAGATCCCAAGCGTATTTGTATGGAACACGGCCAAGATAGAAACCCAACACAGAGGTCATAAACGAGTGAAAACTAGGCTACGTAGAAGAGGAAAATTACAAAAACGGCAAAAATCAACGCTTTTCGACAAGTTTAAAAATGGAGTCCCATTCATCTCATTCGAGCGCATGGTTCACTACAGCTAGACACTGTTCAGTGTGACCTGTCTCCACACATATGGAGTACAATCTCGATATTAAGTAACAGAAAAATGTCACAATGTGGGAGATGAAATATTAGGGCTACGTACCTAATTCATTCAGGCTCTGTAAGTTCAAAAAGTGAGTGGGTGCAGCTTGAAATTTCAAACTATCCAGCTATTTAGTTACATATATACCTATATATGGGCATGAAAAAAGAATCCTAGTACTAGATCTGTCTGAAATTTTCTACGCAGTTAATGTACAGGATCCGAAATTCCACCTACATACTACGAACTTATCTGACTGGCTTTCCAAAGTAACTAACGTGTTCACTAGGTAGTTTCGTTTTGGGCTGCTTTGGTTTAGTCTTGGAAGACATTGCCTACTATTCCTCCGTCCATTGACCAGTAATTTTCTTTGCTCCAACTCTGCATTCGTCTGTTTATGAATTAGGTAACTATTCTTTAAAGTTATCATGAAAAGCACACTTCGTCTTGGGCTCAAACGTGACCCTACCTTCTGGGAACGTACATCAACTACTAGAGTAACGCCATCTTCCTACCAAGCGCCCTTAGAAACCAGTTGTCCAATATCCCCTAATACTTGTATTTCGATGTTAGGAAATGTACACTCAAATTCTATTAATTTCTTTCTCTATATACACGCCATATGTGGGTTTCTCCATGATTATTTTTAATTGAGAGTCAGTTACCAGTTCGGTAACACGTATCGACACATTACATGGGTATCTTCAACACATTCGTTAGCGTTAGAGCAAATTATGACAAATAAGCAAGCAAGTAATCCTATGACAGGACTGATCAGAGGCCAATGTCTCTGATAAAAAGCCTCAGGAATGCCCATATCAAGGACAAAAGAAATGAGAGCACATTTGATTAATTGCCTCCTAATGCGCGATCATTAGAGGATTGGCTCAAAGTAAGTCGAAATAATGGCAGTATCCGTCTGATGGAAATTCAAGTTATCCGTGGGAGGTAATTAGGTCACCTCTGAGCTGGTGGCATAAACATTTGTAAGGATAATCAGTATAACTCTTTTGATAGGTCAGATGATTTATACACTTTGACGAAACACATAGCCACTTTGCTCATAGTCTGGAGGCAAAACGAAATTTCAGGGAAACTTTGTACGAATTCTTAAACTTGCATGCTTTTACACTCAAGAGGCAGAATATGTTTTGCCTCGCAACCACAAAAATTTTGAAAGAAATACTACCTGCATGTGTGAATTCAACTCATAATCTGCTTGTTAACCGTTCATTCTGCGCTGGTACTTTGGAGTTTCTAGTGCTAGTTAGCTGGCACTATTCTAGCTGTATTGTGGAGAAACCCAAATGCGACAGCCAGGACCAGGAAATAGATGCAAAATAGGCCAAATAACTGAATTCGACCTAAATCAGCATTCAGTTGGGTGACGAATGTTTAGTGATAGTCGTTTATCAATCCTTATCCAATTCTTATGCGCCGCACTTAATTCTGACCACATATTTCCATGTCTAGTATATCCACACCACACTTCTCTTGGAATTTATTTATTCGACGACAGTAAGAATTGAGACATTCTGCCTTGGATTGCGTCTCTCGCAAATGTATTATTGCGGTCTCAAACAGTAAACGAAAATCATCGAGATGAGGGAAATTCTTGTCAGGTTTTGGATTTATGTTGAAGCTAAAAATTGTTAGAAATACAGGTGGTTGACGTAAAAGGACTAAAAATAATATTCGCATTACACACCTAGTTAACAGCACCTATTCTGGTTTGCCCCCTAAATAAACAGACAAGTGAATGAATTTCCTACCGTGGTGTCATTTCGCAGGTTAGAACCTGTCTACACCATAAGACTCTGAATCAGCTGAATTTAAAGAAAATTCGGTTGGACACTGTTTCAGCCGGACTTCACTCGACCAATCAAATCAGCATAACTTCAAGAGTACTGACAACGAGTACACAATGTAATTTTGTCGAATAAAATCAGTTGTTCCCACTGCCTGAGACCACTGTCGCTTCAGACATGTTTCTTTGGACTCGGGAGTTGGAAAGTATTTTCTATTCGGCACTTAAAGTTCGAACTTCATTTGGGTTGCCTGTTGCATTACGGGATTGAACCAAATTCGTAGCATCATTACCTAGAGACAGCTGAAGTTTCACCTAACTTTGCCAGTCTCAGGTGTGAGTTGGGTAACTTTTGGAACTTATTTGGACGACCGTAAGACCTTTAAGTTAAACGGAGTCATCCTGATCAAAAATTTGTATACATACGTTGCTTACCACTTGTATCCTCCTAAGGCTCCCGAGTATGCTGCATTTATTAGCGCTGGTACATATGGATATGATGCGAAATTTATTAAGTACCGCATAATTGAACTAAATTGCAGAGATTTCAGGAAGCCCGGAAGATACATTGCAGACCTCAGACGAAATGCAGGTGGACTGATATTGTATGATAACCACATGCTGAGGCACGTTTACCGAAAAGTGACCTTGCATTTAGGTGACGCTGTAAAATTTTACAAGTGGCTCTCTCACCTAGAATGATGTTCTACACAAAGCGACAATCAATAAAGTTTTTCCTCGCAACTGGATGCAATGGGGAAAATCACAAGCTTTCTGAAGATTTCTTTATGACAATGTGTAGATTTTTAATCACATCGGGCTCAGAAACTTTGTGACCGACCCTTATTTCAAAACATTATCCGGGTACTGGCCGATAGAAGGCTCAAAGTAAGAAGATGGTAACTAACACTGAATTTTTTAACAGGCTCACTGGTGGGGAAAGTAATATAACTCACGAAAAGGTACTCACCGCTTGATAAAATTTTAAAGAGAAAGAACCCTACAAAGCATAACGAAGGTATAGTCCATATATATATTTATATGTATGCTAATCTTATCCTTCTGCAACCCTTAGTCACCAGACGCATTCTTCATAATATTCTTGAATGGGACTAGTCCACTTCTACACAACATACAGGTTTGGACATTTAAATAACTGAATAAATAACAGTAGCATAGGGACGTAAAAGATTAGTAATGAGTTAAGCGTGATCACCAGAGAAATCGATGTATATTTAGTATAGGAAGTAAATAATCTTCCAAAGAAATAGACTGATACCTGCCTACCTGTATATGTTAAAATGTGGTGTTCTTAGAAATATATACATCTGTGGTTCTGGTTCTCCTGTAAACACATCAAAATGCCTAGTGAAATAGATGCCCAGCTCGATAATTTTTTAACTGATCAGTTAATATTACTGTACAACACTGCGTGATTATCAAAATAAAATCTCATCCATATTGGAGTTATGCTCTACCACTGTGCCCAAGTTTTATACTTATATCAAGAAGAATAATGAGGTTGTTACTCTTGTACGCCTACTTAACATCTACCATGAAACAATCGGTAAGGCAAATCAGAAAAAACAACCGGTCGTCTGGAACACGAATTATACCTTCCGGAAGTGACGCTGTTAGGTCAGCATCTAGTGTACCGTATTTATATTTTTCATTTATATATCAAGGTATGGCGTCAAATAGTTTTATTTTCCCTTCTGAAGCCGGAGTCCCTCACTGTGCTGTTCTCCCTCCTGTTTTTTCTTTCTTTTTACATAATTTTCCCCTTTTGGAAGAAATCAACTCTACTAAGTACAAGGATCTAACTGTTTCGTTGACGGTTACATCCCAACCTAACTGTTCGAAACTTAATAGCTATTTGTTGGACATTAACCAGTAGTCTAAGCTAAATAGTCTCACCCAAGATTTTTCTAAATTTCAAACTGTTTAGCTCACTTTTAGGCATAAATGTAACTTACAAGAACTGGTTCACTCAAATGATGGCTGTAGCCTTGAGAACACTGAAACAGAAAATAGCTCAAGCATTAAGTATCTTGGAATATTTCTGTTCTCTGACCTCTCTTTTTCATCCAGTATACTGTCAGTTTCTAGGAACATCTTCCGTCTCACCTACCAAATTACAGATTTAAGATAATTTGCAACCATCCGACTTCTACTTCTACAGTTTATTAACTCTTGTTTCTTACATATAGTACTGTACTGCTCACACTTGGTCTTACATGAGCCAATCAAAAATGGCTACGTCATATTCCGAAGGGTACTGGAATATGTCAGTAGGGTAAGTGGTGTGTCACTTTGTCAGCATGTCAATACTGCAGTTGATAGGCACTTGAAACCATGTGAGAAATGTCCCAATCCATATTGTCTGATTTTCAACACACTCCCACAGATTAAATCTCCGTTTGCATCTCATCAGGTAGGATAAGAAATCATCATTCAAGATTACATGCTCCTAAAATCCCCCAGAGAAAATCGAAAATATATTTCTCGCAGGTTCATCATCACCAAGATAATGTTGAGGGCAAGACTAGAAACGTCAGAGGCTACTAGCACAACAACCAACAGCTGGCAGAAGAGTGATAGCGAAAATACACAAAGATCATGAAGCATAATAACCACAGATGCTATACAGCTCAACGCCCGTAGTATTCCCTCCGCGTAGACCAAAGACAAAGTAAAACACAGGGTCAGCATCTAATGTTCAGTGACGAATGCCGTGGCCGATAATTCTGGGAAATTACCTACCGCGTCGGCAGCATAGCGGTTAGCACGCTCGCCGACCACGCACATGGTCCGGCGTTCGATCCCCGGCCGACACACTCCTTTACCTCGCTAAGCTAGAAATAATGCTGATGAAGAGGAAAGGTTGGACATGAGGCTGGCAACCCCATCCTGTAAAATAAACATTGCTACAGAAACTTCAAGCCACTAGCTTGAAGCCGTATGTTCCACTGGGGAACGTGAAGGAAAAAAACAACAGCAAACTCTCCCCTAGTGGGGTTGTGAGGACCCTAAGCCGAAACCAGCCGAAAGTAAAATCCCAACGGTGTTCCTATCTCTAAAATTCTTCCGATCGGCTTGTTGTATTGCCTACTGGTCGTCTACCTATACTAATAGGGTGTCTCTGCATCGCTTCGTTGATGTTTGTCCGCTGGACCTCTTACTTCGTTTACTTCTTCCCCAGTTGCCTTCTCACCTGGAAAGAAAAAAAGAATGCCAAGAACCTTGTTGATGAAGATGTACCACAAGTAACGTTTGAAAAATGATCTGCATCTACCATACAATAAAATAATGCGAAGATAGAACATCGAAAAAAGTATATATCTAATTTTTTAGTGGATGTAACATGTACGGCCATAAAAAATTGTTTAGTTTTATTGCGGAATGCAATATAAAATATTAATGTGTCTGAAAGGAAATAATAAATACCACAAACGAATAAGAATTGGGTGAATCGCATGACTTATCTATGTGACATAAGTGTGAAGATGTTCTGGGAATCTCACGTTTCGTCTAGAACATGTTTTCCTTGAGGGCTCGATAGAAGGTTCAGTGGCCTTCGCCGTGCTAGTGATTTCTTTGAGAACTAACGGACATTCGGTTACTTGTGTATTACTGGGAATGCTTGGTTCTAGGCTCATGGGATTGCCATCTAAGTGGCCTGGTTTCAGACGGTCGATGCTAACGTTTAATGACTTCCTATAGTCCGT